ATGGAAAAAAATCTTCTATCTGGTTTAAGTGAAATTTTCTTTTACTTTGCTAGATGCATTTGACAATTGCAAAATAATTTTTTTTTGTTTGTCCTCGTAAGTTTTTTAAGTTAGAGGTATGTATTTGTTTCAAAATAAACACTTTATTCTTTCTTCTTCTTTATTCTTAATTCTAGTGTTGGAAGATATTCCTCCAACACAATTACGTATACGTGTCAACTGGTTATGCCCCATTGAGGCCATTGACTCCGATTTCAGCCTGCTTTTCTTTTTGGATTTGCTTCCATAGCCTTTGTCCAACCAAGAACAAACAAAGCATCAGTTGTTTGATTTTGGAGTTGTCTCTCCTAGAACAGTTGATGTCCCCAGCTATCTTTCCTCATCTGTCCGAGGGTTCGAACTCGAGACTTTACCGACCCCTAATAAAAACACTGACACATCTAGATGTTTTTTTAAAAGTGAAAATAATATCGTGTACGGTGTAAATTTAACTACACAGAGAAAGATTTTAAACTGAAACTAAATGTTATAGAAAGATCGCACACTGGGTCTTAGAGGATATCAGGTTTTGCTTCCTCAATTAATGACATTAATTAATACATTGAGGTAATCCCAATTAATGCCATTAATTAATGCCTTGAGGTAATCCCAATTAATGCCATTAATGAATGCATTGAGGTAACCCCAATTAATGCCATTAATTAATGCATTGAGGTAATCCCAATTAATGCCATTAATTAATGCCTTGAGGTAATCCCAATTAATGCCATTAATTAATGCCTTGAGGTAATCCCGATTAATGCCATTAATTAATGCCTTGAGGTAATCCCAATTAATACCATTCATCAATGCCTGGAGGTAATGCTAATTAATATAATAAATTAATGCCTTGAGGTAATCCCAATTAATGCCATTAATTAATGCCTTGAGGTAATCCCAATTAATGCCATTCATCAATGCCTGGAGGTAATCCCAATTAATGTGATTAATTAATGCCTTGAGGTAATCCCAATTAATGCCATTAATTAATGCCTTGAGGTAATCCCAATTAATGCCATGAATTAATGCCTTGAGGTAATCCCAATTAATGCCATTAATAAAAGCATTACAGTAGAGCGTCTTCAGCGAATAAGTTATATTAAGTTATATTACAAAAGTAGGTCATCTTTGCCAATTTTCTTTTAAATAATAAACAGAAAACAACAAAGTTAATAAACGTAGTTGGGTGGCAGAACGAACAACTACTATCCCGAAAGTATCGTGTTCGGATCCTTGGTTCGAGTATGTAGGATGTCCCTAAGTCCATCGAACTCTTATGGGTATTAGCATTACATTTAGGAGAGTAAAGTCGACAGACAACACAATCTCTTTAAATGACGTATTTGATAAGGTAACACCAGAGGCGTAGCGAACCTTCCCGGCGCCCGGAGACAAACTTTCAGTTTAGCGCCCCCCCCCCCCCCCATATATTTTTTTAATATTTAAAATGCAAAACTGCAGCTAAAATGAGCTTTTAATTATTTTTTTTATTTTGGCGCCCCCTAGGGTCGGCGACCGGGGACTTATGTACCCCCCCACCCCCCCTCGCTACGCCTCTGTATAACAGTGTTTATAAATTTAAAAAAGTAACAGTGTGAATAAAATATATTTTATTGGTTTTAGGAAACCAACCTTTTAAAAGTAATCACTCAATTTCCGAACACCATTTCCGAATTGCCTTCCGTCCCTACGTACAATACTTAATGATCGGAATTTTAGTTTTCTAGCAAACGTTTACCAACTAACATGTTGGTGGTTTTTGCTTTAAAATGAAAAAATCCAAAACTTTTGAAACAAGTTCTCGTTAATGAACTAAATAAACCGGTAGTGATCTCCCCTAAACTTTCTCGAATATTCTTATATAAAACAACAGGGGATGGTAACTGGGGATATAGTTATGATCTTTAATCCATTTTAAATACTGAAACTTTTAATAATAATCATTAAAAAAGTTTTAAAAAACCCACGTTTTCTGATTGAACTAAAAAGTAGAAAATAAATGCTATAGGCCCTACATCACAATAATGCAAGCGATCAGTCTACTATAAGCGAGCAAAACGTGGGGCGCCGAAGTAAAAGTTATATTACTATTGATTAGATAATACTATTGACTTTTATTAGGGAGCTTGTAGAGAGTCAACAGAAAATCACGGCGCCCCACGTTTTTGCTCGCTTATAGTAGACTGATCGCTTGCATTATTGTGATGTAGGGCCTATAGCATTTATTTTCTACTTTTTAGTTCAATCAGAAAACGTGGGTTTTT